TCTACTTCTACTCTACCTTGATGCAAAACTTAAGCTAGCTCCCTTTTTGTAAAACTATTAGCCTTAGCTGTACATTGTGTTTTAGCTCAATTCAATTAGTCTATTTACAACTTTTAAAAGAGCTCAAGAACAATAAATACGAGATTTGTCAGGAAAAGAGCCACCTTTAAACTCAATTTGATCATTTCTCTGTATGTACGAGACTGTAACTGTATTGTACCTGTGTTTACATACTAGCATTGTCAATGTCAGCATGCTGGCATTAGCATTTACATTTAAGTAACATACACTATGGCTGAGTACAGCACTGCTAGAGTGGCTGTGTAGACTGAAACAAGAAACAAAGGGAGAGTTCAGGTTTTCGTCGGTCTGTTTTATAACAGAAAGGAAATAATGACAAGAAGAAGGTGAGAAATCTTAGAGCCAATGGCGTGACAATGTGTTCAGTTTTTACTCTGGGCATAGAATCTAATGCAGTGTTTAAATCCAGAGGTTTATGCCCTTGTTATTTTCTTATTTCCATGAGCTGTAATTAAGTTTCAGTCATACTAAGTTCTCAAGCAGAAGTGCACCTTTGCATCAGCACACATGTTGACTCTAGTTCATGAAGCATGTCACATCTGAAGGAGATTGTCAGAAGTGTTTGATCAAGCTTTTTTAGGCTGCCAGCAGAAAATAACATTACGTCTCCCGTTTGATGTCTCTTTTCTGAGTTTCCCTCTCCCACTCGGTCTCTCTCCTCTTCCGTTTCATCTGACCGTCCTCTCTAATCAGGCCTGGATTGGCCTCGCCTCAGCAGCCACATAAGCAGTGCAGAGCAGAAACGAGGGAGAGAGAGACAGAGCCACAGAGGGGTAGAGGTTAGAGGAAAGATCATAATTGGGATGACATTTTCTTCCAATAAAAAAAAAACAAGACCTCTGGTCTAATAATGTGATGGGTGTCTGTAGACCACAAAAGGTCACGCTTCCTCGGGCTTCTGTGGGTTGTGTGTGCTACTCTCTGCTGCATGACTTATTTATGTAACCATAAACTCCTCACTGTCTAGTGAGTTATTGCTAAAGATGACAAACATTTCAAGGAATATACCATAACAAGAAGTATAATGGCTTATCTGAATGTTTATTTACTTGGTTTTTAATGATCGTGCAGGCTAACAGATTAATTGTTTTGTGCAAATAATTACAATAAAAGATATTGTACGTGGCAGTTTTTGACATTTGAGTAACAAACAGCTCTATGATGTATCAGAAAGTCTGCAGTGATCTAAATAAATATAAAATACATGTTGGATAGTTTTTAATCCACATCAAATAGGTTTTCAGTCGATGCATCTGCAGCAATTGCAGCCTTGAGCGTGACCATCATCGTATCTAAACCAGCTTTGATTTTATCTGTCTTTTAAAATAAATAATAAAGTTGAGTTTTATTACAGGCAAGTATCTTTCTCTGTATTTTTCACTACTTATTTCACCCTGTACCCTCAGAAGTCTTGTGGGGCCTGCTGCAGATCCCCACAGCATGACGCTGCCACTGCCATGCTTTGAGGTGGGAATGCAATGCAGTGTAACATGTCGTTTAGTTAGATTGCCAAAAGGCTCAATTTCAGTCTCAGAGTTTAGAAACTTCCTCCAGCTGATTTCAGAGTCTCCTACTTGGTTTCTGGAGGAATGTGGCCAAGATGTCATGTGAGGTTTTTCCTTTGTTTCTTTTTAAGAGTGGCCCTGCTACACCCCCGTAAAACTCTTACTGATGAGGCATCCATCCAAGAGTTGCTGGCACAGTCTCTCCTACCTCGGCCTATGCAACTTAGAAATCCTTTGGGGGGTGGTAGAGGTCTCCGCCACTCTCCCTCGCTCAAATGTTGATACTCTCTCCATTTGTTAACGGTTGATTTAACTGTACTTTGTTAAGTGACTCGGAAACTTCCTTTGAAACCTCCTCTGACTTGTGCTCTTGTACTCTGACATTTACCTTTTGGAGTAGTTCCTGTGATTGTCCCTTGGTCTGCTTGGTGTTGGCTTTGCCACAATACTGACTCACAAAATCTCAGACTTGTATTCATGCTATACAATTTATGAAACATCATCCCCACACAGAGGTGATTGCAGCTGCACCAGTCCTGATTTAGTTGTTTCTTGATGCTAAAGGCATGCAAACATGTACATAAGTGTTGCAACTGACTATTTTAATTTATTTCTATATTTATTATATGTCAGTGGATAGGGTCATAAATTAGGTAGAGAGAGAGAGAGAGTGGAGAACTACATGAGGGAAAGGATCCACAGGTCAGATTCAAACCAAGTAGTCCACTTGGAGGGCTACAGCCTCTGTACATGAGGCACGCACACTAACCACAAGGCTACCGGCGCCCAATCCTGTGATTTCTTTAAGTTGCAGCAAATCTTTACATTTAAGAAGATGAAACCAGCCACTTGATGTTTGATCTAGAAAATCAGTCGCTGATTGATTTTCTTTGATTGACTCGCCAGATGATCCAATAATAATGCAGCTCTAATGTATAGTCGATTGTAAGTAAATTTAATCACATTGTAGACTTTGTTTCTCTCTTGATCAGAAGCTACATTAAATCCCCTTCCCTTTCTTTTTTTTATATATATGCATTTGTTAAAACAAAGTTTAGTTGCTCTTCTCCATAGGTGTGTGTGTGTGTGTGTGTGTGTGTGTGTGTGCAAATACTGGGCTTGTGTATGTGTGCGATGTGCAAAATGTGTTAACCAAAAAGGCCTCTCTCACTTCACATCAGTGGGTGATTGGCTCCCTGCGGTGTATCTTTGATTAGCCGGATAACAGGCGTCTTTCTGCAGCAGCTATAGAAACCGTCTGAGAGGCTCCGTCACTTTCATTCCGCCTCCTCCTCCTCTGTTCTTTTAAAACTGCCGCCGCTCTGTTTCTTCTTCCTCTCCTTCTCCGTTTCTCTCTGTACATCTGTCACTCGCCTCTCTTCTTCTCCCCGCAATGCTACGCTGGTTCCCCTAGTTTAACAAGCTGCCAGGGGACTTGCATGAGAGTACACCCAGAAATTTGTCGAAGGGATCTAAACAAGGGATGATTCATCCCCAGATGGCTCCATTTCTCTCTCTCTCTCTCTCTCTGCTTTCCGACTTTGAATTTTGGGAGCTTCAATGCCGTCTGATCCTGTTATTTTCATTACCTGATGAATGATATATAGGCACTGTAGAGATCACTTTTAGACAGGCCAAGTTATTTCTTCTGAGGCAAATTAGGAAGAGGATTCAATCAAAATAATTCACTCACCCAAATAAAAATGAAGACGATACATTTATATTTGACATGCTGTTTTGAAGTGAGCATAACTTTTGGCTGGAACTTGAGTTCTGCAGCTTATTGGCTAAAATGTTCTTACTCATTTCTGTCAGCTGCTTGTATTTTTCTATTTGTATCTGGAAAAAGAAGCAAGCATTTCTTTGTCTTTATCACCTCGTTGAACAGCGAAGCAGGTGTCAAATCCCTCTTTGACAATTTGAAAGAGTGACGGAAATGTTCTCTGCCATTATATTTTAAAAAAAGAGTCCTGTCATTTTTTTTTTGTTTGTGTCAGTGTGAAGCTGTTTCTCTCTGCATGCGGAATTTCAGCTTTTGGTGTCTGTCATTTTCAAAGAACCATAGAAATAGAACTGTTTTGCTCTGTTCCTGGTATTGTAATGACATAATTTCTGTCATCTGGTTTTCTTCACATTAACTGGTCTTGAAAATGTGACCAAAAAAGACATATTTGGACTTATGGCTACTTATGGAGTGTAATGGGAGTTAATGAAAGTGAATATACCTACATGCTAGTGTGTTAGCCACAATGCTAACATTTCATTGTTTGGTCGAGTGTTATATTGTATTATATTGTCGATGTTCATTAGAGATGTTCCAATACAACTTTCTCTCCCCAGTATATCAATTCCCCAGAATCCAATGACTTGACTTGAGTTTTGGTATTGAAAAATTCAAACCCCTCTGATACTAGCGTGCAAAAACACTTCACAGAACATCGGTGTAAAAGAACTGATTGCTGACATTTTGAAAGCTTTGACTTACATTGGTAACACGATGATCAACCTCAAACTAGTTAGCTTTTGGGAAGGCTCATAAATTATGGAAAAAGATCGTTGCATTGACTGGCAATGTAGGCAGTATCCAAACAACTCAAATGTCAGTTTAATTCTAGGGAAGGGCTTAAGATCCCGACCCTATCAACAATTTATCTGTATGTATGAACTGTTTTTTTTTTTTTTAACAGCATGTTTCCAGTTCCTCTAAAAACATGTTGAAGTTTTGTTTACATTCCAGTTCATGTGTCTCCAGGCTGGTTCTGGCTTGTTTGTTTTCGATATTGAGGAATCTCCAGTATGTTTCTGTCGGTTAAGGCCAAGTTATGCTGATGTGCAATCTTTTGCACCACACTGTTATTAAGGTGTAGATGACTGTTATGTCATAATCACCATTCTCCACTCAATCCCACAGTCAGACCTGTGAAATGTTAAAAAATCAGGGTCAGGCAAGGCAACAGGCTTTACAAACAGGCTTTTAGTTGTTCGTGGATTTCTGTCTAAAGAGGTCATCAAAGGTACAGCCACTTTCATAGAAACCTTTGCAGAATTATGATGGCTAAAGAAAACATGAATACTGGCTTAGTGGAACGGTGGGATAATGTAGTCTGAAAGAATAATATTGTTATGTTCGGTAAGTCTAGTAGAATATTACAGCTTGGACAGCCAAAGTGGATAAAGATATATTGTATGAATAACAAAGAATCGGGGGGGACGACCTTTTTTGGGGGGGATAATTTATCTCCAATCACCATCACCACCTTTCGAGATTCTAATTTGCATTTTAAATTATCAATCTAATTGATTCCCATCTAACTTCTTTATAGCTGCTATGTGCAAAACTGTCCCCTTCAGTGCAGTTGAGGATATAACAGCATGTCATTACATGCACTGATGAACCCTGTTTTCTTTCTTTAGGACTTCCTCACAGATTTGATGATGTCAGAAGTCGATCGCTGCGGGGAGAACGAGCACCTTATCTTCAGAGAGAACACATTAGCGACGAAGGCCATCGAGGAATACCTCAAACTGGTTGGGCAGAAGTACCTGCAGGACGCCCTCGGTGAGTGAAACAATGATTCAGAAGGGAGTGAAGGCAGAGGCTGTAGTCTCCTGACAGTCATCCTAAAATATTCTGAAGCAGTCTCTTGTTTTTTTTGTATTTCAGTTTTTCTTTTCAGTTTTTCTTTGCCTTCCTTTCATTTGTACACATCCTATCTCTTTGCTCTTTCTTGTCCTCACATTCAACCCAAAAACTTTCCATTCGCTCATCCTTGAAAAGGTTTAGAGAACTGCAGCGTCAGTAAATTCAATATATTGGCTACATCAACAATATTAGAGATCAAATGAATTTGCCTGCCTCTCTCGACAATCATTTTGACAGCGAGACCGAAGAACTCATCCGTCGTTTCAATTTTTTGTTTGCAGCTAACCGTAGACAGCACAATTCAGTGACTGCATGTTTTGGTCTCGCTTTGACTGTAATTATAAATCACTCAGCAGATCAGCTTTGTAGCAAATCATTATGAGGTGATTGTTTGACCCCCAACTCCCGTTTTGGCAATGTTAGTCCAAGGTTAGATGGAGTGTGTTTGTCTGACTGCAGTCCTAACAATAAGCACTCTGTATGCACTGTGTGCTTTTCTACCTCCCCTGCTCCAGGAATGTACACAGAGGCAGTTTAATCTACAAACGGCACACATCCTTCCTGGCACTCATCACATTTTTCTCTGTATGCTGCCAATGTTAATGCTCAACGTGTGTGTTTATGTCACTCTGTGTGTTATGTGTGTGACTGTGTGTGTGCATGTGTGTGTCTGCCTGTTTGTTTTTGGCAAAAAGAGATGCTGCCTGGTTGCTCGCTTGTGTCTCTCGGGGCTTCCTCAGAGAAATATTGAAGGCTGGTCTATTTTAAATCACTGTTCTTTTGGTGATGTTTTTTGGTCAACATCCAACTAAACTGTAAGAATCACTGACACAACGAGGAGCAACACAAAGGGCAGCCATGAGCTCCCCTTACAGACAGTTGACTCGTCAACTTTTTGATACGCAAGGTTCAATATCAGATTGGACGAAAAGGACAATATTGATTGGAAATATGGATATGGAAAAGGGAACATGATCTTATTTCTTTGTTCCTGTCCGGGATGTTTTTTCTCAAACCCGTCTGTCTATAAACTTTGACAAAAGATGAAGGGTTTTCTTTTTCTTCTTCAATTTCCCCTCCTTCTCCTCCCTTTTCTGTCTTTTTCTTACTCTTCTAATGTTTTAATTATTGGCAATCTCTGAAGTGCATTACTGCCACCAACTGGACTGGAGGGCAATAAGGGGAATGGATTAAGGCAATTCAATCTGAGCTTTTATTCAAATGTCGGCTCAGAAGTAAGACTCTATTCCCTTCTTTCAGCTTTAAAAAAGGGGAAGATAAGAGATAAGAGCGATGGCATTCAAGAAGCTCTGAGATCTTTCAATGGTCAAACTAAGGGGCATCTGTATTTTAAAAAAATAATTCCTTTTTGTTGTGTTCATGGTTTCGGCCTTACAGGATTTCAGATATCAAAAACCAAATCATCTGCTGTTTTGGCATCATGTTTTTTTTCTCCGTCCTTGCTCAGCTCAGCAGGACTTTACAACCAACACAAACAGTTCCACCTCAGTTCCCTTTTTCCTGCTGCGTCTATCTCACAGATGCTCAAAGAAAGACACGGATCCCCAGAAAACCCACATGTTCATACATTTCTTATATATTTTCTTGTGTTTGTTTTTGTTTTTTTCTCAGGTGAGTTCATCAAGGCTCTGTACGAGTCAGATGAGAACTGCGAGGTGGATCAGTCCAAGTGTTCGTCTGGTGACCTGCCAGAGCATCAGAGTAACCTGAAGATGTGCTGCGAGCTGGCCTTCTGCAAAATCATCAACTCATACTGGTGAATACGAGTCTGATATCACAAACATCTGAACAAATCACTTCTTGTATTTTTGTATCACATGTAAAATATAATTCACACTTTTTCTGAAAACTGACTTTAATTTTTAAGAATATCTCAATGAACAATTAAAACAATGCTATTAAAGAGGGCTTCTGTTAGATTGTGCACCTGTTAACAGATGTTTGTAGGTAATAAAGATGTCTGTCATCTTTTGATTTATACATTTTTAAAGCTTCTCTGGAGATCAGGAATTCTCTAAAAAGCCAAATTAGGATTTAAAACTCTTAAAGTCTTAAGTAAAACAAAATTCTCAAATGACTCTCTTCCTACTCACAGCGATGCGTGGGAGTAACCTTTAAAAACAACTCTCAGGGGATCACACGATTAATCACATACTCACTTGGCCAATCAGAGACGAGGATTGCATCTTATGAATTTCAATCGATTTATGCAGCGTTTGAACAACCCTCCAATCAGATTCTTTTAAAATATTTAAATTTAAAGTGTACAAATCGAGATAAAATGAATTGCTATGATGCAGAAATGAAAACAAATGAAAACCAAAACAGAAGTCTGAATAATATTGTGATTATGATAATTGAGTGTTGCATCGATAAAAGCAGACGATATAAATGTATGGAAAGGTGGCAATCAAAGCAGCGGCAGATTGATTCTTGTTAAAAACCCTTACAAATGCAAATGAGGAGAAATCGGTACAATATCCTTTTTGAATGTTCAAATGAAATGCAAATAAATACTAAGCTTTTCAAAATGAGATATTTTCATTGAGCTAACGTCTTGGTGTGTGCTTCTATCTTACATATTTATACTTAACACACCTGATAGGATTCACTAACTTTGGGAGCGTTTTTAACACACAAAAATTAATAAATAACTTTTAGTTTTAAAAACGTTAATTTAACAAAATAGAGAAAGCTTTCACTCAAGTCCAAAGCACATGAGGGGTTTTTTTTTGGTTCCAAAAGACTGAGGGAGTGAGCTTGACCGATAACCTCTCTCCTGTATCTCTTTATTCACAGCGTCTTTCCTCGAGAACTGAAGGAGGTTTTCGCATCATGGCGTCAAGAATGCAGCAACCGGGGTCGACCGGACATCAGTGAGCGTTTGATCAGCGCCTCTTTGTTCCTGCGGTTTCTCTGTCCAGCCATCATGTCGCCCTCGCTTTTCAATCTGATGCAGGAGTATCCCGACGACCGCACAGCACGCACACTCACACTCATCGCCAAAGTCACACAAAACCTGGCAAACTTCACAAAGTAAGTGTGCTTGGATTTTTTTAAAAAGACTTTGCTGCACCATTTTTTTCATGATTGAATATATTTCCTGATCCTTGTCTCTGATTTCTCTCTGCTTTCCCTGTTTCTTGTCAGGTTCGGTAACAAGGAGGAGTACATGTCCTTTATGAACCAGTTCCTGGAGCACGAGTGGACCAACATGCAGCGCTTTCTTCTTGAAATCTCCAACCCAGAGACAATCTCTAACACAGCGGGCTTTGAGGGCTATATTGACCTCGGCAGGGAACTCTCCACCCTGCACTCCCTCCTCTCTGAGGTGGTTTCCCAGATGGACCAGGTACTGAACGTGGCATACTGCACTACGTTAAGTAGAAGATGATGCATGGATGGAATCAGACATAACGTTAAAGCACATTCAAAGTTAATAAAGTAGACGGCAAACTAAAAGCTTGCTGCAAGAATAAGAGTATTTGACAGTAAGGTCAAATAATATCAGACAAAAAAGTTAAAATAACAAATCCATAGGTAACATCAACATGTAGATACATACATTGATAGGCTGATTTCTGGTGAATGTCAAGAACATTGATTTTTTACAGACGGTCAAATTTGCTTCAATGCATCATCACAATCTTAAGGATTTGAAACATCATTTGGCAACATTAAGAAGTTGTTTATCTTACATGAATCAATAATGTATTATTGCGTTACATAAGCAGTGCACAAGGGAAAAACACTGTGGAGCCTCAGAAGCTGGCTAAGGCTTATTAATGGATTTACAAAGACATTTACATTCGCTCTGGTAACAGATGGGGAGCTGGTAATAATTAGATAAAGATAAAGGGTGGAATCATGTTTTTTTTGGGGTGGGCGGGGCGGGGCGGTTAGAGCATCCAGCTTTCTGAGACCTTGTCTTTCAATAATTCACAAATCACAGTGAGTCTTGATTTTCCAGTCCATCAGACCGGCAGGAGAGTTAATTATTTAGAATGTTGTCTGAATAAGAGAGTTGATTGCACGCACTCCAGAAAAATAACTTGTTCTAAAAAATATGCAAATGTCTAATTCAACAAAACTCTTCAGACGTTAAATGCAATGAATGCCCTGAAGTTGTCCTGAGTGAAATTTATTTTGACTTTAAAACTAAATTATGTGTTTCTCTTCACAGAGTGCAGCCTCCAAGCTCGGCCCTCTCCCCAGAATCCTGCGAGAGGTGAACACAGCTCTGTCCAACCCGTCCAGTATCCAGATGACACCCGGACAGTCTACAGAGCATATGTGCTCACCCCCTGCTGAGGCAGGGTGCAGCATCTCCACTGGCCTGCAGAAGATGGTTATAGACAATGACCTTTCAGGGTAAGACATATCTAAGATCTCATCCAGAATGCACACACTAGGTTCATTCATTATTCAGATGACACTGTTTTTGTATATATTTGAATAGCTGACTGCAACTGAAGGCGAACAGGCATCAAATATAATGATGAAAGGGTGTGGCAGTATGATCCAAATATCAGTTGAGATAATGTGAAATGCTTTAAGCTGGTGTTTGAGGGCAGACTCTGTTCAATTTGCGCTGCCAAACACCTCTCTTTTCAGCTGAATGCTTTTGTTTGGTGTGCTGGAATAAATCTGTGGTTTCCCAAACTTTAAGCAGACATTTTTGACAGCAACTCAAAACTACAGACTACAAAACCAAAACACTTTCTGACAACTGAGGAGCACTTTCTGTAATAAATAAACAACTGACTTTAAGTAGTGCAATCATGCTGCCACGTTGAAGTTTTAGCCGCTTCTTAATCATGCAATTGTTTTATTATGAAGTGTGCTGCTGGCCAGGTCACCCTGAGATCTTGATCTCAATGGATCAAGATCAATGAAATAAAGGTTAAATTAAAATCCAATTCTTAAGGAACATTGACATTACTATGCATAACAGGAGCTTAATGAACGCGTTGTAGGTTCTGTATCTCGATCATCACAGTTAGATTAAAAATGTATTTTCATTCTTTAACATCAGCCTTAACAATAAATAGGAATCAGTTGATGAAATGATTTGACCAGCTGTAACTGATGTGGCCACTGCTGGCATGGGTATATGCATTAGCAGATATATTTGTGGGAAATAGTTAATAGCATATTGTTGATACATTCGAGTCTGTGATTCTGCTCCTTGTCCTCATATTTAAAGAATACATTTAACTCCTTCCTGTGTATTTAATATGAATTATTTTATTTACTGAGTATTTTTCAGCTCCACTGGTTACCAGTGTTGATGGTTTTAATTGGTTGCTCTTCACTGTACCCTGAGTTTTGACTGATCCTAGGACAACTGTGTTTCCCTATAAAACAGAATAGGGATGGAATAATCTTCTAAAATGTTGTATTTTATTGTGTGATGGCTGCCTGCATGGCCAGGTCCCTCTTGTTAGTGAACATTTTTTTAACGGGACATCCTTGTAAGATAAAATAAGGTGTTAAATAAAACCTACATTATCTTTTTAATTCAATGGGGGAGGGGGGTGTAGGAGGTCAGCTATCACAAATTAACAATCTCTTTGGAAAGCGTGAAAAGGTGCTTTGTTTCTACAGCATGTTAATGACTTTTTATCATTAACTCAGTCCCAGGCCACTTCTTGCCCACAGTGCCCTTGTGCTCCAAGCTTTTGCCTCCACCGCCTACGCCAGCTCCACTCTTGGCATATTTTATTGCGAGCGAAGTCATTTAAGGACAGACTGATTGCAGAACAGGTTGATTTAAGGAAACAGTTCACCACAGAGGCAAAAGAAAACACTGATGCTTCACACCTTCAAAGTCATCTTGAGTGTGTTCTCTAGCTAACTACTTCTGCAGAGTGTGCATGTTTGTCATCCGAGGCCTTGACACTGCGAGAGTGTCACCCTCGCTTGTTTACATCAGCCGGATGAAACCTTGTGTACTCTCATGTGGATGAATACGCACTCGGACAGCACCGTATCTTGCTTATCTCCTTTCCTCTCGCTCTGTGGCAGCACGATGGCAAGGTGACACTTGGAAAGATTAACATGAAAGCACAGGGGGCCAACAGGAGGAGAAATACATGATTGATAGCCCGACAAACTGTGCCTAATAAACAGCAGTAAACACAAGCAGAGCACAACTGCAGGCAGATGAGATCATGCAGCACATAACAGGAAGATGAGACAGCAGGAGAAAACAGGAAGAGAGTCAGACAGCTGCTATCATTATGCTAAACAGAGGTCCAGAATCAATAGAGCTAATTAAGTGTTGTCCCTATATGACCTGATGTCAGAGTCTGCCCTCTGTAGTTATCACAACAACTGCTCATACTTGACAAATACAGGTCTACATTTGTCTACTTGTGGTTTATCCTCATAAGCCAGCCATGACACTGAACCGGCCTTCAAATGAGCTCACAATTCTCGCCTAATTGCTTCTCATCCACCAACCAACCAGTGGCACAAGGAAAAGCAGACGAAGAGAAAAGCAGACAGTGCCAAGATTGAGGGAGGGAAGAAATTGAGCAGAATGAAGAGAAAGAAGTTAGGAGGGAAGGGTAATGGAACAGAGAGAAAAGGACACAGAAAGAGGGAGGAGACGAGCGTGATGTGAATGATAGAGATTATTGGAAGATAAATCACGCCTGTCAAGGTAATCGTCTTTTGGCAATACAACCTCCATCTGCCATCCAGAAGGAGGGAGGGGAGGAAGAGAGGGGTAGGAGGGAGAAAGCAAATCAGTGCAGTGGACTCATACCACATTATTAATGTTTTTGGCTGGTAAAAGTTACCAAATTTAAAACTCGTTTAAGATTCAGTTTGCTGATTGTCATCTTTTCTATACAAAGAGTATGTAGCTTGTGCCACTGTTACATTAGCTTAGCATTTAAACTATATAAAAGGATGTAACAGCTTCTGACGAGTAGCCCTTGTCTTATGTTAGCTTTCACTCTCATATTAATAAATTCAGCTTTTTTAGAGCTGTGGCGAGTGCTGCTGTTAGTAACACAATAGAGCAATTCATCAAAACACTTCACTAGTTCTAACTTGTTGGTAAAGTATTTGACTGCTGAAAGTTCAGCGTTAATCAAAAGTACAACTCTTGATTCAAGTTTAATTTTAGATTCCACTTTTGGTTTGTTTGAATGATAACAGCATTGTTACATCTATTAACGTTATTTCACTTATGTTCTGTCTTCTGTTGTCACACATTCTTTCTCTGCCTGTTGCTTACATAGATGCCTACAGGATTATATTTGCCTATATTGGTCCTATGCCTATAAGATTTTTGTTGTTACTCATTCTAATATGCTGAGGTTTTTATTATAATTATTCTTTGTCTTTCTCTTGCAGACTTGTCGACTTCACCCGGTTACCCTCCCCTACCCCTGAAAACAAGGACCTATTCTTTGTGACAAGGAGCTCAGGGATCCAACCTTCCCCAGCACGCAGCTCAAGTTATTCTGAGACCAATGAACCTGACCTGGGCATGTCCAATGGCAGCAAGAGTCTGTCCATGGTGGACCTCCAGGACCCCCGCAGTCTGGAAGGTGGCCAAGGTCCCAGCTCCTCAGATGGCCTGGGTGAAGGCCCAGGATCAGGGGTAGGTTGGTCAGCCAGAATCCCACAGGGTAATATCCCTGGAGGTCCCACCTTGAGGAGGCCCGGGCAGACCCCCACAACCATGGGCACAGAAAGCACCCCAGGAAGACCCCCCCCAGCTACTAGCCCCCCTATCCTTCCAGAACCCAGTCTACCAGATGGCGGCATGCCTGCCTGTGTCCCCTCGCGGTATGACAGACTCTGGTTCAGAGTGCCACAGCTCTGTCAGCTCCCACAGCAACAACGACGACGGACCAGCAGGAGGTAAACACTCCTTCTTGAATCATGGAGGAGGAGGAGGAGGGGGAGGGGGAGGAGGTGGGGGGGAGCAGCGGGGACGAGTACACCAGGCGTTCAGGGGAATTTAACCGCAGGCAGCTGTCCCTCACAGAAACACAGCACCAGCCCACCGTCCCCAGACAGAACAGCGCCGGCCCACAGCGGAGGATAGACCAACCCCCGCCTCAGAGCATCACACGAGGACGTACACCCCCGAATCTCCTCAGTGGACCTTACCCGAGACCCTCCTCTGGCAACATGATGACATCATCACCAGACTGGCCAGGAAGTGGCGCTCGATTACGACAGCAATCCTCCTGCTCGAAAGGTGACAGTCCTGAGACCAAACAGAGGACCCAACACAAACAGGTATGTGACTCGGCTGTGGTGCTCAAGTCTTAAAAAATAAAGTAACTGAGAATGATATTCAGTGTTCAAGAGAGCCAACTGTCCATTAATAAATAAAGAAAAAAAAGGCTCTTATTACACAAAACCCATTTCCCTTATATCATGTCAAAAACGACCTTGTGGGTGTACTCTGAAGAGACACTGCACATGGAGCCCTAATGAACTGCAGTCATTGTGCATTTAATTACAGTAATTTGAATACAGGCAGCTCATCACTTCACCACTGTTTTACTGGTAAAGTTTAATAGGCTGAGGATGTGACGCTATAATTAGCATCGGATTAGCATGCGATATATGTGCACACACAAACAGAAAACGGATCTTGTGAATACAAACAGATACAGTGCATTCATGCTAGGGTCATCTTATCAGACAGAAAGTGTGTCAGTGTGTGTGTGGTCACTGGGCGAGGTTTGCATTTAGAAGCACAAATCCTCCGCTGGTAGATTTATTATTGGCAGGATTATACTGTAGGCTGTGATTACAAACCGTAGTCAATGCTTGCCCAATGATTATGATGACTGGCTGAAGGGGACGTTCCTGGCAAATAACCACAATGCCTTGCCATCCTCTCTGGAATAGCCTTCAATGTTGTTTCAATATTGGCTGACTCTCTGATGGCACCAAACCTTTAATTTGATTTATATGTTAGGGGAGCTCAACGCAGGCATTTATTATCAGTGGTTGTCCATCAAGGGCCTTTAAGCCTCTAAATTAAGATGGTGACAAACGTGTTCCAAGTCCATTTATTTTATGAAATCCTCAGGAAACACAATGAAGGAGATCCCTGATTTCAAAGGTGACAAGGTACAGACACCAATAGAGTACATACAAGTCAAACCAAGCAGTTACAATAAAACCAACAGAGAAGCCTAGGGGTTAAACATAAAAGAGAGCACATGGGTGAAACAGGAATAGTCATAATATTAAGAAGTAAAAGAACAAGGATTAAAATGACTTTAATATTGTCCTTAAAGTGGCTCTAAGGATTTTTTTTGTCAGTAGCTTCAACACAAAATATGTAATGGGGAGATTCCCATGAAGTTTCATACATGAATAGAGGATGAATCTGAACAGGTTTTTGTGATCTGCTGACACTTTTCATTAGCAGGTACAGTTTTACAGTTTTCTGGCAAACATCTCAACACTTAATCCCACTGTGCAGGCATTTTTGACTCCTTTGATTTTATCCTACTAACTTTGGTGATCCCCTGACCCTTCCCTCAGCGATAGCAGCAGGTGATGGGTATGCTTTGAGTTTGCCATACAAAGGGATGTTACAACATTTTTTATAGATATTTTATGTTCAAAATTTGATGAATTTGGTTCTGTAGCTCTGATGAGGGCAATAAATATCATTCCAAGTTACCATCCTAAAGAATTTACTCTCATATTTTTGTTAAAACAGCAAAACCTTGGTGTCTCTCTATATATTCCAGTTTTTTTTTTTTTTAAAAAGCCCTCAATGCAAATGAGTGTGTTGAGCTATAAAAACATCCTACAAGTTTTCTCATGTACTGAAAAAGCCCAAAGCAACACTCTCTCATCTGTCCATCTGGAAACTGGGAGATAGAAACACACATACATCTTTAATGCTAGTATCTTTCTCCAGGCTGATTGAAATTCCACTTATCTAATTTTACAGTATTTACACTCCTTGCAGCTAGTAGGCTGAATGAACACACACACACATACACACACGTTAAGGTCGGTGCTTTGAAGTGTGTGCTCTGGTGTTTGTGTGAGCTTGAAAAAAGGAGTGTGTATCCATTCCACCTGCTGCTTTCAGTCCAGATGAGTTGAGTGCATTTCAAGCTTGTTTCTGTGCTGTTATTGCTACCTGCCCCCAGCCCCCCCCCCCCTCCCTCTCCTGTCACTTGCACTCAGCTCATGTATGTGCGTTTGTGTGTGTGTGTGTGCGTGTTTGTTTGTTTGTGTGTGTGTGTGTGTGTTGTGTTGGTTTCACTAGGCCCCCTCCCCAGTGAACCCCAGTGCGCTGGACCGCACAGCAGCCTGGCTTTTGAATATGAATGTGCAGTATTTAGACCATGAGGGGATGGAGCCCGAGTCACTGAGAAACAGAGAGGATCTGACTCAGGTGGAGAAGGTAACCTGCCTCCTCATCCGACCTTTAACCAAACCCCCCCCCCCCCCCCACTCCCCTTTCACACACCACCTCAACCTTCAGCCCTGATACTCCCACTTAACTCCCCCTCCTCTCTTTACCTCTCATTAGTTCCCACATTCACCTTCCTTCTTAAAACATCCCTTCTTACAATAAATAACCTGTGTTAATTCCTACTTTGCCCTTTTCTAGCATTAAAGTCAGAGGTTACTTAAACCTTCCCAAATGGCCTCTTAAAGTCATCATAGTTTAGAATTAAATTAATTAAGGTAAATATGATAGATTGAGTGACTAGCACTTCAATTGGCTTAGGACATCAATATGTATTATTGATATTTTATCTAATGATTAGCTTGTGAATAAATAGTATGGTTACAGTGTTGGTCTGTAAAGACACGTCATTATTTCAATTGAGTTGTCTTGTTTCATTCGAGCAAAATGTAACTACAAGATAATCTAAACTGATTATGAACTAAAAGCATCACAACCTCACATTTGGATCTTTATTTTTTTTTATATTTAAAAAAAAAAAGAAAAAGATTGAACAGGTTTATTGAAAATGAATATAATCCCTGCTCAATAATCTGTTCAATAATCATTTTGAAGACTTCTGCAGTAAATACACAGAACAAAGCAGGCTAATGTTTAAAAACCAGACTTAGGATGAGCAGTTGCTCTGCAGAGGCTGATTTACATATCTGTTAGGATTCCTTACTGGTTTGTTTTTCATGATGTTTCTTTATTAATCAAATCCTCCAGACAGATCTCTGCCTCTCTACAACAAATAGAGCCAGTAATTAAAACCGATAAGAAAAACAGAATGAAGCTTTTCCTAATCAACAATCGTGTTTTTCTTCATGCTCCTTGGCTGAGCTTCCGTTAGTTGTTTCTTGCTTTTGATCAACTTTGTTTCCATCTGGACTTCCACATGTCTGATAACTAACTGGGAGTAATTCAAATGTCCATTCTGCAGACTTAAAACCTAAAGCTCACTGGCTTTTGTTGCATCTTCTTTTTCTGTTTGGCAGGATGGCAGATCTACCGTCAGCAAGTTCAAAATATCTATTTTTATTATTATTCTTATGATGGACAAACATTTCATTTTGATCCTCCAAGATGGTTTTATAACGCAGCCCTAACTGCACGTAATGTATTAAGCCAATTGTCAATATTGTACTCAGGCCAAAACCCAAAGAAGATGTGAAAAAAACAACTCTCATATCTCAGACAAAAATAAAGAATAAGTTGTGAGCATTTCATGCGCAGCGAGACTTAGCCTTAAAAAGTTTAGCTTCTGTAGTTTGAACCTTCCTGCCCCGCCACTCTAACTTTCCCTCCTCTTTCTTTCCAACTTTGGAATGAATTTAATAGCCCAAAGCCTGTGTGTGTATGTGTGTGTATGCACATGCAGTACATCCACACAGCCATGTTGCAGCTTGTGTGTGCTTGCTTCTATGTGAGACACAGAAAAAGAGGTTTTTTGCTGCTTCCTCTGCCTGCGTTGCTGCTTCTCTTCTCAACAACCTTTACAACCATTCACCCTCTGCTTCGCTTGCATGCTTTGATTGGCTGCCACTTACTCTCCCCCCTGCTTTTTTTCTTTTTTCTTTTTCCATCCATAATGAGTACAAACCTGTCATCCTAACATAGCTCACACTTTATGGAAGCCAGCAGCCCGAGCAGGGAGAGCAACCAAAGAAGGCAATAACTTCAGTCCTAACAAAGAAGCCACAGACACCTTAAAATAGCTGAGCAGCAACAAGAGGCGGATTGGAAAACACAGGGAAAACACAGGCTGCAACTAATGATCCAGACGATCCCAACAGAACAGACCGCCTTTTCATACATTGAAAATGCATTTATTGTATTCAGTGATGGAGAAAATAAAGTCCATACACCTCTTGAGTTAGCATCAATCAGTGCATGAAACAAAAGTTATAATAAAGCAGGTCATTTGCTGAAATGAAGAAACATTATCACAAACATAATAAGATTTATATATAAAAAATAATAATAATAATAATTTGAAATATCATTTTCCAGATCAATAGCATAGACTATGTGAGTGCAAGTGTTTGATTACATGTTTAAGTGTGTGAGGTCTGAATGGTGCCAGGAAACTTGATTTCCACGTCTAAATCAGCGTTCAGTACAAGATGAGTCTTACTGTCGCTACTCTATTCTTATTGGTTTATAAGGTGTAAATAAATATGACGATATCAATAAATTCTCATTTCTGGAGCGCCAATGACTTAGCGGTTATGTCACGCGCCCCATGTACAGAGGCTTCAGTCCTCGTCACAGCGGCTGTGGGCCTGAATCCGACCTCGGCCTGGACCTTTGCTGAATGTTATCTCCCAACATTTCCTTTCTCTCTAAGTCTGTCCTATCCAATAAAGGCAAAAAGGCCCCGAGACCCTGATTTCTTACATCAAAAACTAAATACATAAAGAATCAATGGTCAAGGTCATGTCAATAACAAATACATTGAAAATAAATCAAAATGGTACATTCAGTTCTTGTATCATAATTCTAGATCATCTGTATCATTCATGGAATGACCGACCTGCTGATTTCATGATACACACACTCATCCCTATGTGGTTAGATACCAGACAAGTCTATTCTCATGGTTAACAGAATCCACACGTCTTTCATAGATGTTGGGTCCATGACTAAAGGGAGTTTCATGGTGTTCTCACAATCATACATATTGGGTGAACAAATGTTTAACTCAAAAATAAACAACTACTGCTAATATAGTTTTTATGACAAAAAGTCTTTTTTATAAACATCTAGATTGTAATTACAGTGAACCCCCTCCCCCATTGACACAACAGTGTCTCATGTGACCAGTGTTCTGTTAGACATCTTACCCACTTAAACTTCATTAGCTGTAACAATGCACTAGTTCACATCCTCTGTGTTTTCCAACCGTCGATTGTAACATATTAAATAATCAAAATCCAGATGTGTTGCTTACATATTTACTTCAATTAAAAAAAAAAAAAAAAACGAAGACAAACAGAGATTAAAAAAATAATAATTATCTTGTCTTAGTGAATAAAATATCTCTAAAGCAAGGCAAAGGGTGCTATATCTGCAAAATAGTTATTACACTAGATAATTCGACACAGCTGAAATGGTCGATGAGACGTGATCATGTTAGGCTAAAAATAATGATTATGTTTCACTGCAGCAGCTTGATTCAAAAGGAGAAAAGGAAGAGGGGACATCTGTGTAATTCTGAAACTCTTGTCAAGGATTTCTATATTTCTGTCAGAGCAGGATTTGTCCCGCTGACAGGAAAAGACACGAGGGCTACAGAGTCGATGTATTGTGCGTCTGACTGACACGACAAAGGCACTCACAGATACAGTAGATGTCATTCTTTCTCAGGGGATCTGGTGACAAGAGCAGAGGGATATTAGAAGAGCAGAGAGAGGTTAGGGGGGGGGCGATAAGAATGATCTATTTGAGGTCATCACTATTCCTGCTAGGAAGAGAGAGGGCTGATGGGAAAAATGTCCCAGTGGTCGGCTATAGAGTGACATGGGGAAATAAGCAGAAGGCGACAAGGGAAGAGAAATGATCCCAGCGGCATCCTGTAAATAAAAGTGATCATTCACAGAAATACAATATTAAGATAGAAAACTGGTCATTTACGTTTTTATTAACGCAGACACTAACATGTATATACGAAAGGATTTCATGATAGATGCTTTTTTTTTTTTTTTTTTTTTTTAGGGAAGTCATTTTACTTTTTGCCTTCTACATGGAGGAGTTTTGTCAGGATTTGATTCAGAAAGACGAAGAAACATCGGTTAGGATTGATCTCAAAGAGATGTCGCATTTCTCTGTTGAACATTTTAACTGATAAAGCAGTGGTTTAATCAAACAGCAGACTTATTATACCAATGTACAATGATCTGTTAACACCTTTTAGCCATGCTACAACTGCTGCCGGGGGATAGAAATGTTAGTGGGCCGATCTTTTTATGCTAGCTAGACTGAAATATCTCACTGGATTGAGATGGATTGCCGTGAAATGAATTGCAAACATCCGTTTTCCCATGATGATGAATTGTTATAAATTTGGCAATCCTTAAGAAAGTATCTCGAAAACATTCAGTTGTATAAATGTATCAGTTCAGTAACTATCCTCTGCAGATGCATGCAAATGAGATGGTAACTACATGTGAACATGCTAATTAGCCACAGTTAGCATGCAATACTCCAACCTAAAATACACTAAACACATTTTAAAACTTCACCTTCTCAATGTCAGCATGTTGACATCGCTTTTAATCGTGATTTCAATGTTTAGTTCAGAGCCACAGGACAGCCTCAGAGAGCTGCTGGTGTGACTGTAGATCAGTATTCCTGTTTCCTTGTCTGTCCTTCACGCTGACATGTCCTCCTGTGACAGGCTGACCAAACACTGTAGCCCTCATTGTTTGAAGCAATGTGTTTTTCTGTCCGAGAGAGATTTGATTCCCTCGATGGTTTCCCCCTCCTCACCTGAAGAAAACTCTTTCTAAATCCTCTCTGAGGTCCAGCAAGAGGTCAGGGAGAGATTTTCAGGGCTTATCTCGCGGAGTAGACTCCCACTTCAGTGGTTGCATGCCTCCCTCTTCACCTCCACTTGTCCTCATTTATCCTAAACGTCCTTACGTTTTTTTTTCCTCACCTTCTTTTCTCTGCCTGTTTAACTTCTCAACAGGTCATTGGTTTCAAAGCCAAATGGTTGAATAAGGACTTTCCCTTGTTGCTGAAAGGCTCACTTTGTTGTTAGGAGTGTTTGATTGGAAAGAAACAATTATAATTTGATTTATAAGCAAAAAAGATATGAGAGAAACAATCTACAGGGTAGCTATACAGGTCTCATGTGGAAGGGTAATCATGTAAATGAACCATGTAATTCAATGAAAAGGACTTTTCTGGATAGATATTACACTCAGCCTCAGAAACAACAGAAGGTAATCTCAGGCCTGATTGAGAGATTTCCTTTCCTTCGTGTCATTTATGTAAATGAAGTGATCAGGGTTTGTGATGATAATGGCGGCAGCAGTCGTCTTCATCTCTCCGTGCTTCTTTGATCAGTACCAGCAGGAGATTGCCATGCTGCAGGAGAAGCTGCGGTCGTCCGTGCAGAAGCTGGAGGAGTACGAGGCCCGTCTGAAGGGTCAGGACGAACAGGCCCAGAAAGTTCTGATGGAGTACCAGGCCCGGTTGGAGGAGTCAGAGGAGCGCCTGCGCAGACAGCAGGACGACAAAGACCTCCAGATGAAGGGCATCATCAGCAGGTAGGACGAAGACGAGACGAAGGGGAAGGAGCTGTTGTGTTGACATCTAGAAGGCTTGAGAAAATGAAGCCAATGCTAATGTTCCCGTGATTGGCCACTTGGGGCCGGCTCCAAAAGCCAGCTATTCCTCATTAGGCTCCATATTAAAATGCCAAACTTAATAGCCATTATTAAAACGGTGCATTTCAAAACTCTCTTGTATAAATTGTATTAAGGCTTAAGGATTTTAATAATTAGGAAAAGTGTTGCATTGAGCGACAGGTTGTAGCTGCTACTTGTCTGTTTGCTGTCATCTCAGCTAAATCAGTCATTGAACTTGACCTCTGGGCCCGGTTTGTGTTCGTGCCTTTCAAAGATATTTGATGGAATTCTAGGACCTATAGTGTGGCTTTCTATGCTGTGTACTATAATACTGTGCTGTCCAAGAGGTCTCTGGTTTTTGTTTTGGTGAGTGAAATTCTATGATTTCAGAGCTATGTTAGCACCAATAAGACAGTTCCTGTTCTGGACATACCTGGATTAATATTCCCTCCAGTATTTCTCAGACATTGATTTATATATACGATTTGAATAGCGTTCTAGTTCATTTGAAAGCTAATGAATTAGCCACATGCACAGACTGTATAGCTTTGATAACTGTACATTTGCTAACCTCCCGCTCCTTTTTTTCCCTCCAGGTTAATGTCGGTGGAAGAGGAGCTGAAGAAGGACCACTCAGACATGCAAGCAGTGGTCGACTCTAAACAGAAGATCATCGACGCACAGGTCAGCTTGATCTTGTCAAGTATAAATGACTGACATATGGTCCTTTAGATACATTCTGTGTTGGTGTGTTTCCATTTGTATGTGCTGCCACTTGTGTCCTCTGCTCGAGAAGCAAAGGGTCACTGAGATACACCGACATGTTTAATTCATAGCTGTCTCAGCTCTGGCATTGACAAGCTTGAATGGCTGAGAAGTATTTCTCAGCTCACTCCCACTCTCTGTCTCTCTTATAAAACATACATCTACACATTTGTGTTCTGGTTGTCTGTCAACTTGAAGCTCTTCTATAATCCATGTGGCTCTTATTCATATAGAACTGTGTTTGAAAGAGATTGCGTTAGAGCTCTGAATGCATTGAATTCTGAATGTTGATGTATTGAAGATAGTCATACATTAGGCAGAGGAGGGTTGTGTGGGCATAACATTTCCTATGAAGAATTAAACACAGCTGGAGCGTCTTCTTTGGATTCCATTTGTTCGACAGAACACACAATTTGTGCATCTTTGGAGATGAATGCGATTTAAAAAAGAACAGTGAAAGAAAACGACTTTGCTGCAACATGAGATGTACACAAACCCCGACACAAACATGCATTTGTGATTAATAGCCATCACGCCTAAACTAATAAGACTTAGCATCTGCAAACAGAGGTTACGGCAAAGCAATAAGTTGTCTCCCTCAGTAAACAGGCGAAGGGAATTTAAACAAAAAAAAAAGCTCATTATCAAGACGGAAAGGAAAGCCTGCTGCTGAGGCTCAGCCCACTTTATACATCAACACAGCTGGTCTCATACAAAAGTCGCCCTAACAATACGATCAAAGCTTTGCATAAATCTACACATTCATTTGGGGCTGCAGTAGCATAGTGGTAAGTGCACGTGCCCCACATATGGAGGCTTGTTCCTCGAGAGCAGGAGACCTGGGTTTGAATGTGACCTGTGGCCTTTCCTGCATGTTGTTCCCAACTCTCTCTCTCTCTCTCTCTCTCTCTCTCTCTCTCTCTCTCTCTCTCTCCAGTTTCTGACTCTATACACTGTCCTATCTCTAGAATAAAGATTGAAAAAAATCCCCCTCCGCAATAACAATCTTGGAAAAAATAACTACACATTCCCAATTTCCTTGTCATTAGAATTTTTCCCGAGCTGTTACTGACAAAATGCATTAGATTTATAAGTCCTTCATGTAGTTAAACTTTGAGTTAAAGTGTGTCCACAGATGTCAACCTAAAAACAGTTAAACGGATGTGAGCTTCGCGCTGTGGCACACCGGCCTGCACAGCACTTCTACTACATTTCCCCCATGAGATTCAAACTGTTGAGATTCATGCACACCTTCAGATTCTCGCACACAGGAGCGTAGGAGCAAATATCCATAGGCAAGAGTAGTCCTTTTTTTTTATTATATAATACATGAAATTATATAAAAATGATTTACTGCAAATGAAAGAACAGTGTGCAGGAGTTCTTTCCTCTCTTTCCCCCAGGTTTTTCTGTTAGAATTTCAGTGTTAAAACCTACATTTTCAATTCAGTAGAAAGTTCTCACATTAGCAGCAGCTTTAGTCATTAATGCCTGTCACTGTCACTTTGGAAGATGACAACATTTTGAAGCCCCACCCCTCACCATTCACATCAACATATATCCACATACACTACACACACTGTCAGTCACGCTCTACGTACATATCATTTTTAAATGAATCTCAAACACTGTCTGAAAAAGTACAGAATAGCAGTTCAGTGTGTGACCACAAAGAGAAGAAACGAACAAAACCCCTTTCATGAAGGAAGCGATTAAGAGCGACACGTAACACGAAACTGTGACGTCTGGTGTAGGTTCATTTTCAGGCTCACGTTTACCCTGAAGTCCTCTCACAAAAGTTGAATCATTTGGTAGCAGTGAAAAACGGGGGCATCGTTTGTTAAGCCTTGTTGAGTTTTTATGTACAAGTTCATTGTCCAACTTGTACATAAAACCTTCTTGGCAAAAATTAAAAGATGATGAAAATACTAAATTAATTTTGGACTAGGGTCTTTTTAACCTCCACTGGACACAGAACAGACCTTAGTCTTTAGATAAAAAAATCATTTTGTGTTGACTCTGGAGCAGGGTTTTTTCTAATTGTGGGAAAGTGACCTTTAACTGAAAGAACATAAAACCTGCTGAGATCCCCCCCCAACCCCCAACAATACATATTTTCAAACACCTTTATTTATTTATTTTCTTACCTTTGAAACATCTTTGACTTTCCTTTTCAACATTTTTAAAGATTTCAAGCGTATTCATTTTTTAAACACTGTTTGAACATTGTGTCTTTTTAACATCTTAACTGCGCTCAGTCTAAGGATCTCTCAAATTCACTATATCAACCTAAAATTATTGAACAATAAATCCTCCTCCTCACAACTTGAAAACAGCTGCTCTAGAGTGTTACTAAATAACTGTTTCCATGTGTGTCTGCAGGAGAAGCGCATAGCATCTTTGGATGCCGCCAACGCCCGCCTGATGAGCGCCCTGACCCAGCTGAAGGAGCGATACAGCATGCAGACCCGCAACGGCATCTCGCCCACCAACCCTAGCAAACTGCAGATCACTGAAAACGGAGAGTTCAGGAACAGCAGCAACTGCTAAACAGACTTGAGTGTACTGAGTGCCTGCGTGTGTACAGTTATTACAGGAGAGAACGTCTACATACATGCATGCATGGAAGCATGCCCAGTTTGAAAGACTGCAAGGGTGTGTGAGTTTTTAAAACAGACATGATGGAAGAAATTTGGACACCAGTAAAGACATCACTCAGTTTGTAGAGGCGGGACTGCAGCGTGATGGACAGATCACTTAGAGATCACCAGACAGCCTTCATTACCAGGGTGGCGGTTAGGGGAGGCAGGGGCGGAGCCTGTACATATGAAACTATCCATCGAACACTTTATCAGTGGATGTATGCAGTCGCCGTAACATTTCAAGACCCTGCAGACGCCGGGGACGAACCACTAAATACCCACACACAGTGAAGACGGCCTGACAAGGTCACTCCAGAAACCTTCCTCTCTCTCTCTCTCTCTCTCTCTCTCTCTCTCTCTCTCTCTCTCTCTCTCTCATTTCTCTCTCCATTTCTCTAAATCCTTCTCCCTCTTGACGACCAAGCGGACTCACTTAAAAACAATAACAAGAATGGAGGATTATCACTTCAGCTGTCCTGAGAGGATTACTTTCTAGTGCTTTATTTCAAAGTCATTGTTTATTAAGAACCAAATAGGAGCTCAAGAAAAAATATTTTTATTCCAAAACAATCTTCTTAATGTCATTTGGGTGCGTTGGCCCCTCTCCTCCCCCTTCCCCCTCCCATCCCTATGTAGTGCACTTTGTGAGAAGCTATTGGTACAGAAACGCCTTAAGTAAGAAACACACCTCGACTTTATTCCCTCTTTCTGCAAAAAAAACTAATCAATGAAAAGGCACAACTTCTACTGTGGATTTGTAAAGGATACAATAAGAAATTGTACACACATAAATATATAATGAACACTCAAAATACATTTTATGTGATACTATATAAATGAAATCTAAAATAGATATATGCATTTTCTTTTCTTCTATAGAGTATACACACATATCTATATCTATATTTGATAACCTCAAATATATAAGCAGCCCTTTATTAAGGAGGTAGATCTACTTTTATTTTTCTTCTCTTACGATGAAAGACTGAAGTGTGTAGCTTGCTTTGGAGCCCTGGAGGAGGAGACCACACCGAGCAATGATCAGCACCATCACCTCAGTCATCCGCCCAAATCCCCCCGATGCTTGCTTAACTCTTTACATCCAGTCAGAAGTACATCCAATAGGTTTCTGTACAGCAGTGAAGTCGCACCATCAGGTTATCGTCTCTGTTTCGGTGCTCATCATTGCTTTGAAAGTAAAGATGAATTTAAAATCACGGTTTTGTGTTTAATCTTGACTCGTGTGTGGTTTTCTCTTTCTAGTAGCACAAGAGCTTTGAGAGATGTGTTCAGACACACTCGCTCATACTATACACTGGACTGCTGAGCCATTGTAAGAATGGTCTCCTAGGTTACAACATTTCCTCTCTTATCTGCTTCGTTCGTCAGTGGTAATGAAGTTTGCTGCATCCAAACTGTGACTCTATTAACCCTTGTGTTATCATCCCTTTGTGTCTTTTTCTTACTCCCCACCACCGTCCTTCATAAAACGTATCACACGGCAGACTGACGTCACACTCGAGGTGTGAAGCTCAAAGGTTGTTGGCGTGTTGTTCTGCTGTGTTCCACGTTGAAAGTCATGTAATATAGGAAAGTGTCCAAATTGTGAATGTTTCACCGCTTCTCTTTTAATCAACTGCTAAAAAAATGTAATGGATGGTGAAAACCAAAGCATTGTTGTGCTAAAACTACAAGCTAAAGCAACATATGTGCTTACCAATAAGCTACTCTGAGACAACGGCTGACATTGGAATTGAACAGCTTCCTAGCTAACATTACGTTTACATGAGATGTTATACATGCGATTGCATCAGCAGCACAACTACATCCTTTTAATGACAACTTTGAGCTTCCCACACTGATGCAATTTAAAAATGGCCGCCGTGTGAATATGGTGAATTCCCTCATTCTTCTGAATGTGAAGGTGCTAACTCACAGTTGGTCTTAAAATGAGGTTTGGTCCTACTCTCTTTTGGTGTCGCCCTCTGCTCCATTCAACTTCTGTGCATCTGTATTTTGTATATTTTTGTATTTGTTTTTGTTTTTTTCTTACCTGTAACAGACTGTGTACATCAAGAGTGAGGCTCTGCATGCTTCATCCTTGCTCCAGAGCCAATGGTAGCGTTGTTTTTACAATTTGTTTTCTTTAAATTGCCAATTGGAAGGTTATGATGATGACGATGAATGGTTGGCTGCAGATAGTGAATATATATGATTACTGAGTGCATCAGGAAGGCTGGACAGCCTGGGAAAGTGTAAATAAAAAGCTCACACTATTTTTACCTAATGTTAACAGAGCTTTTTGTAAATGTATCTTGTGCTCAAACTCTGCTGTATCATTATGATTATTGTAAATACAAAATATCTCAGTCAGTCATATGTCCTCATCTGGTAGAACTATACAAAGAAAAATTAACCTGTCAGTGTTCTCCCTGTTATAGCTATTGGTTTTGTATTTTAGAGTGTAGTATCATTAGCCAAAAAAGGATTGCGTTGGAGTTTGACTCTTGGGAAGTTCTTGGAGGATGCCTCCTTGGTTTCACACCAAGCTGAGTCCAGTCTCAGTGAGATGAACAAGCACAATCTCATCAGTCTAGCTCTATGCACTTTTCGTTCGATTGGTTGGTGTTTCAAAATCAAGCTCTTTTTGTGAAGCAAAGCACCTGTTTTAATTGTCTGACAAACATGGCGAAGTTAAAAAGTAAAGAAAGGAATATTTATCAAAACTCATCGATAAACCCTGTTATGAGATAAACATCAGATAGCATTTTAAAAAACAAGATGATTTCTTTTGACGTCATATCTTGACAGGCATTCAGTCCTGAAAAATATCTGCAGATGAAAGTGAGACTCCAATACTTTTAACAATCCTCCTACCAATGGATGAACTCGACGTAATGCTGAATCTGATACTTACTGACACTGCTAGCTAAAAGCCTCAATGCGGATTCATCTCTTTTGACCTGTTGCTTTGGCGGCTAATGCTAGCTTACATTTTTAAACTGTTGTTAAAGGCACATTAATGACTATTCACTGCCTTTGATTATACTTCTCTCTAGCTGTTGTATCAAATCATTTTAGCTAAATCATTTACTTTGCTTAGCATTTAAGCTAAATGCTAAGCTACTCTTTAGCATTGACTCTAGCTAAACAGGCGAAACACTTTGATGTCATGCCTTCGGTCTTAAATGGTCTGTAATCACAAATAGTCTTCTTCACTTGTGCTGCTGCTACAATAACTTATAAGCAACACTAGATACTGAAAGGTTAGCTGAGGCCTAGCTTAGCATTTAGCTGTGACCATTGTTCAGCAAAAGTTTGTCAGTCTCACTTTGATCTGTAGGGTAGGCGACAGTTAAAAAAAACTGAATTATTCAAAGACGTCATGTTTAACACGTTATTACATCAAAAAAAAAAAAAAAAGATGTGGTCTTATTCTTCATTTCAGATTTGACTTCTCAGTTGAACTTTTTTTTTTTTTTTAATCCCTTCCATGTTCTCACCTCGGTTTCTTTTTTCAATCGCTCTTCACACAGTACAGCCAGGACGACAGAAGATCAATCAAAACACAAAGCTATAAATAAAGTAAAAGATGTTGTATGTTTTCTATTATCTTGTAGAAAATACTTTTGTAAGTATGTTGAAAGTATAAAGTATTTGCTGGATTCTGCTTCCTTTGACGACAGTGATAAACAATAATGTACAGAGGAAATTGTGTTGACAAAATGTGGCTGTGCAATTTATGTACATTTGCAACTAGACCTATTAAAGTTTTATTTAGCTATTTTAAAATCTCACCCCGTCGTTGTCTTGTCTCTTATAGCCTTACCTGTGACGCTTTATTATGAAATTTAAATGAAGCTTCATTTGAGGGCATGCCACATGAATCACATGTTCATTAAATACTCGAGCAGGCCTAGATAGATGGCGAGTGGCTCGAGAGAACATATGTTCAGATGCGAGGTCTAAAGGCAGACAGGAGGCTATGACGGAGGGATGTGACTGACTGGTTTTTGAGCAGTGCCTTCTTCTCAGTGAGCCTGACCTACATACTGCCTGATTGTTATTCACAACAGTGGGTTGGAGAAAGTCTGAAATGGCCACAACAACAAAAAATGGAGCGGATTTTGTTGCAAGAATATCCCTTTAAAAAACAGTAACTAAAGAATGAGCTCATTTCCATATAGAAATGTCTCATATTTTTCTTCCAAGTATAGCCCAGAGGCAAAAGTAATGCAGCATGAGAGCCTCCGATATTGTTATTACACAATAATGTGATCGAATGTGAACAGTGGACCTCATTAACAGCAGATCCTCTTCATGTGCATTTTAAAAAGACAAGCTCCTGTGTTGTTAATTGCTCCCTGTGAGGCACACTTGATTCTTTGTCCAAGTGGAACAGGCTTCCCGGAGGGATCGAGGCATGCTCTCAGGACATCAAGCTAATAAAACAAGCTACTACTCTAAAAGTATCAAAGGCTAAAAAAACATAGACACATAATTACGCCACTTGTTAACCGGGAGGTTGATTCCCTGCCAACAAGCCAAGCTGTACGTAGTGGTCCTTCAAATCCTCTTCAAAACATCTTTAAATGGAGTTGACTGTTTGGATGACTATTTTCTACACTGTAACAAAAATGTGGAAAAAAAAAAAAAAACCTCTGAAAGGCTGTCCTAGCTATTTCTATTAGAAGTTTATACAAATTAAAAAGTATTAGTTAAAGATGTGAAAATGTGTGGAAAGATATGACTCCATGTTCATCAGTGGTTGAATTAATTAAAACACTGAAAGAAATTCTAAGATTATGTAATTTGGTACACATTTGCAGATTTTGTTGTTAACGGGGTCTTTTCATATGATGCTCCTCTATACTTTCACCTCAAAGTTATCTCGAAGTAGTGGTTGAGTTTAGAAGCTGCTTTGTAGATTTTGATTTTGAATTGAAAGCAAGAAATCATTTTTATAAAATATGATGTGTAGTTAGTTTCAAATTCTACTATTTGTAAAGTGTGCCTGACCCCAGAGCCAACCAGCACTGGAACTCTGCTGGGCCCACTGTTTTTTTGTTTGTCCATTAGTTTGACTTTCATTAAGTTTGACTTGGAAAATTAAGAGAAATCCTCTCACCAGTTAATAACGGGACGTATATTGGCACAAACGGACACTGTTTTCAGGGAACGCAGTTTAAAAATTAGATTTTCGATCATTTTCCAACACCAAATACGTAAGGCTGGCATCAAACACTTCGTAAGTCAAAGCAAAAATAGGTGATCACAGGCAGTCATCATCCCTTTTATAGTCACCTGGAAAGTCTCGATTTCTGTTTGAAATCCTTCAGTTTAAGTTTTTGTATTTGTTGGCTTACTTTTTCTAAACTGACTGAATTTGCTTTAATTGCCTGTTTGAATGTTTACTCTTTAATTGCAACCTATTATGTTCAACTTTCAGGATTCAGGATGAGCCTTGAAGCTTAGGTTTCTTGTGTTGTAGTATTGTGACTATTTTTGACTGAGCAAAAAAAATATCGAGACAACACAAAAGTAACTAACATGGATGGATATATAAGCAATCTTTAAAGAGTGCTATTCAAGGCTTATCTATCAGACTTGTTCAGATCACAGATGTAAATAGTGCCAACGGGGCTGCCATTGTAGGACATAACATCCTCTAATGATCTGACAAACGTTGCTCTTTAATGAGCCCATATGGGAAATCACGATGATGGTGCACGAGTGGTGCAGTATGTTTGCAGCAACACGCACATCTAGCTTTTGCATGATTACATGATCTCAGTTGATTCTTTATTTAAGCCTCGATATCATTGAGGGTTTACCCATCCTCAGAAAATGTTGTTAATAATTCTATGTTTGAAAACTAAAAGTGCAGAATAAACCAGACACACTTGAAGCTTTAGAAAAACTAAAACTTTTCAGAGAATTTTATAAGAAGCTTGATTCGTTTTTGTACAAGAATTGGTTTACCTGCTAAACTTGTTTGTTAGGACTAAACATCATCAGCATTAGTGAAATGACACGTATATAAATCATGACGAAATGAGAGATTCAGTTGGAAGGTCAAAATTAATTTTATTTGTGCAGCAGTGCTATCAATATATTTGACCCATATCAAGAACCTTGAATACACTTCATATCATAAAGGTACATACTGCGGTAAATCTGTCAGCCCTACAGTATAAATACCAGTGTCTTTTAGTGTTACACATCACTCTTAGTTCATGACTTGGTCTGCTTGTGACACATTTCTTTAATCATCTTAGTGTGAGTGAAGAACAAACAAACAGGCGTAACTGTAGTAGTGATCATTGGAAGCAATGGTCTAAAACTTTATTTGTTCAATTGTACGTATAACCAATAAAAGCATCAGACAGAAGAGGTTTATTACAAAAGCATCTGAAACAATGCAGTACTTAAGATCTTGAATGTATGCACCATGCAACCATGTCTAAAATATAATATTCCCGATGGCAGTTGTGTGGCTTCAAAGAAATCATCCTAAGAACATGTTCGCTGGAGGTCTCTGACTGCCTGACTGGAGTAGCTGCTGAACTGAGAGAGGATAAGTGGCATCGTGGCCTTTTCCCTTTGAATACTTATTCACTTAACTCGTCACTAATGGGCTCTCGGAGCACGGACGCACAGCTGAGCCACTGGCTGTACATAGACTTGCACTATTGAGCTAAACCCAAATAAAATACAGTACAGAACACACGCAAACACACGCAAACAGCCACAATGGGGCCAAACAAAGGCTGCTCAGTCACCCTCACATCCATTTCTGTGCAAATGTTTGAGTTCAAAGAGTTTTTGTGCAAATTCAAGAATATAATACACTTAGTAAGGTCACTCCCTCGCACCCGTCTGAGTTTAAATGCATCAAACGTGACGAATCTGGAAGTTTGTGTCAGTGTACGTGTTGCCAAATGAAGTTGAAGGGTAGCAAATAGCTGCCCTGTAGAATCCTCCTCCTCCTCATCCTCCTGATTGGACCCAACGTTCACTTCCTTATATACCTCATTTTATTTCAGATTCAGCAACCCCTGCAGACACACTCCTCTGGGAAGAAAAAAAAAGCAATCAGGCTGAGGAGAGTGATCCTGCAAGTCAGCCAGCAGGGGTCAAGCTAGTCGTTCTCTCAGCTCCCATCGTTCATCTCTCCAGGAGCGGAGGAGGAGGAGATGGATAATCATTTAGCTCCTGTAGAGAAGTCTACCATCAGTTCTCTACGTTGGCCCTGAGTGCGCGTGGCTTGAGCTTCTGATGCAGACGGTAGTCCTGGCTGGCTGCCCTCCTCAGCGGTGCTGGGGAGCTGAGCTGAGGGTTGGTGGTGGTGTGGCCGAGTGTCTGAGACTTGACGGCTCGGGTGTGCATCCGGCTGCAGCTCACGGAACGCCTGTCCTCGACGCTCGACTGGGCCTCGAGCTGAGCCTCACAAAGCTCCAGGAGGGTCACTATCTGCTCCCTCAGCGGCAGGGATTTGAACCTGCGACCTGCCAGGATGAAAAAGGCTTCCACAAACGCTTGGAGTCCCATACCTGAAAAAGCAGAGTTATTGAGGTGAGCCAGACTGATACATGTGTGTCAATGTCAAACAAATTTCAAATGAAGAAGTAATCTCTAACTTGTTTCGCAGTCAATGCAGTAAGAGACATCACTACCTTCTTCCAAGATCTTCATACAGCTTTTAATTATGAAATAAGAGAAGAGTACAAAAATATTTTTTACCATGTTTTTCAGATATTAATATGCGTCCCTAGTCAGTCTACAAACCCCTGAAATATAAGAAAAGTCTCTCTCCCCGTCTTTTGCCTGCTCTACTTTTCAGAAAATGTGTGCTCAAACAGGCTGTTTGGAGATTTTCCCTTTGTGACATCACAAAGCGCAGTAACCCCCTCCCCCAGGTGAGTGACACTCCCACAGCTAGATGTTTGTTCTGCCCTCTGAGTCTTGCTTGACAGTCTTGAGACGAGGAAAATAGACAACTTCTGTGTCTGACTGCTACCACAAGAAGATGGTTAGCTTAGCTTAGCATTGGGGATTAAAATAACACCATAGATAAGACCTTTGACAATTGTGTGTGAATGCGCTTTTTGATTATGTTATAGAGCTGAGGGAAAAAAGTCGATTCATTAAAGCAGGGCTATATGAATTGCTCAAGGGCACCTCTGCAGTGCTTGGGAAGTGCCCTGGCACCTCTACAGCTACCAAGAGCTGTCTCTCCTGTGTGAGCACTAGGATAGATCGCTAATTAGCTTCTAAGATAACGTAATGAATACTCTGTTCAAAAATAAACCTTTAAAACAACAGCCGCAGTGGACCGCTGTGATTGATCCGCAGATATTCGTTTCATGTCAGTAAATTTGTTTGCAGCATGCTCCTTGCTGCCAACCACATTCTACAATTCACTTAGCAGACGCACAAGTCATGGCGGGCCAACTTTATTATGTTACTTGATGTTTTTGTCCCTTTAAACTACATAGCGAGAAACGTTTTGTCTCGAGACAAAACAATCACATTTCACTTTAGTTTGTCCACTTTATCCTTGAAAAGCATTTTATTGTAAACTTTTTTTTTTTTTTTTAAATAAGTGATTGCATGCAAAATGATGCAGGAGGTAACACTGAACTGTTCAGGAAACATGAGCTGCAGGAGGAGCTCCATTTCCTCCCTATGCTCTCCAGAATATTTGCTGCTGCAGCCTCAGTTATTATTGACCACGAGGAGGAAGACACAAATATGTGCACAAAAAAATTAAAAAGATACCAATCCACACCAGACT